GTGGGGGGCAGTGGGAGGTTCTGCAGTCCTAGATTTAAATCTCTATCTCTATGTCAGTCAATTAATGAATCTGAACTTCTTTTCCCCAGTGTCTCTTTCTACATCCAGACTAGAACAATCTTTTAAGATCCTTAATGAAAAGTCAGGAAAGACTTTAATATCTGAGAGTTTGCTTCTGCTGCAGGTAATTCATTTCACAGGTACGTGCCTCTCAATATCTGAGCCTCTAATAAGAGTTTTAGGGCAGGTCAACTTCTTTATTCCCAGCATAAGCAAGTTTAGATGCATCTGCTATGTTCACAGCACTATGATAGGATGCAAAAGAGACTATAAACAGAAATAGAATAAGAATCATCATATACTATGTTACAATTCTGTTAAGAACCTCTTCCCATCTGAATTTAACAATCCAAAGTCTACTCATCTTTCAAAGCCTAACTCAAGTCCTATATGCCCCCTTCTATTTTCTTTGATGACTTGATCTTGTACTTATTCCAACAGATATGTCAATGCTACTTAGAAACAGGAACTATTTTCCATTTCTTTGCAATTCTGTATAGCACTTAGCATAGTACATGAGGCACTCAAACACTTATCTTCTGGCTGTCTGAAAGGATACAACAGAAATATTTAATCTTTAGATAAAACAAAGGATTACAGTTATAGTTGTGTTTCTGGAGCGTGGTCTATTTAAGCATGGACATTGTAGGCTCACACGTGCAGCTTAAAAATCTCCCTACTCCCCATTCTAACAATGGATGCAAGTGAAAATTAGACCAGTGATTCTCAAACAAGGAAAGTTTGCCTCAGAGATAGGGTACAAGGAGGAAACTTCCCATGGAGTATAAAATCTTCTGAGTAAAGAGACATGTATGTAGATTTTTAAAAAGAATTTCCTAAATGGTCATTTCTTTGATATACTCCTAGTTACACTAATGTATTTTGAAATTTAAAATATTAAAGGCATGACATTTTCATGTCTACAAAGGAGAGGCATGGATTAGAAAATAAATATTTGGGCTTTCATTGGGGGAAGATAATGTTTAATTTTATCTTTTATCTTCAGCATCTAGAGTCTGGCGTATAGGAAATGCTCAGTAAGTCTGAGGTGGATGGATGGATGGATGGATAAGAATGAGTAAATGATAGGAAACTTGAAGCTTCAAGAAAAGAAATCATATGAATAAACAAGAATCCTTCCATTTTACCGCTGCTAAGAGAAATCATTTTTCACTAAAAGCATTTAGGTAAACAAATATAGGAGGCTGGATACTACTAGATTCTGCCACCAAACCAACAAGTGTCATCATTGAAACCAGAGAAAGATTTTATAAAGAATGCTTATACGGACTATACCAGGGAATTTAACTCTAGAAGCCAGGTTTCAGAGGCAAATGCAACAGTTGTTTAAACTATCCACAGCAAAACTGACAAATGTACATCAGAGGCCTCAAAGTGGCAAGCAGTGGAGTTGTACGTTAGTTATTAGTGCTGTCTGTCAAAATGGTTTTTTTATTACAAAAGTAATAAAATTTATTTGAGAAAGTTGGTACAAATACTCTCCTCACTGAGCACAGACCATAAAATCATAAAGTAAGCAGGCAAATAAACAGTATAGTAGTTGTAAACAATAGTTTTAACCAAAACACCAGAGTATTTGATTGAGATTTCATAAGCTGTAACTTTCATATACCCATTCTTCCCATACTATCCCCTTAAGGTCTCAGATGCCAAAAAAAATGTGTAACCTCCTATCGATAGGAACAACCCACTGCAGGGATGTTTCTCATGGAAAAAGAAAGTTTCTATTGCATTGCTTTCAGACCTAACTGGTTTGTCAAAATGTTTAGTTTTTCCCCTCTTCTAAGCACATAGCAGGATTATGCTTCCTGGACTCCTGGTAATTCTGGATGGTTCTACATGACAAATTCTGGGCAATGAGTTATAACTAGAAGTGATGTATCTTGATTCTAAGCCAGAGAACTGTCACTGTAAGAAACTTCAGAGTTCTGTGTTTTCTCTGCCACAAAGACTGCAATATTCCTGATAGTTGCTTCCCCATTAGCCTGAATCACATAGTGAAGACAGCAGCAGTGCAGAGTCCCACAGAAAACCTGTGATGGGGGTATAGCTTGAGCAGGCAGGAAATAAATCTTTAATGTTTGAAATCACTGAAATTTTGGCATTCTTTGTTCCTGAAGCATAATTTGATCTATCTTGACCAATATAACATGGTTTACTATAGTCAACATAGTTTACATTCTTTAAACTGCTCTGACTGCGTCTTTTTCTTTTTCTTTTCTTTTTTTTTTTTTGAGATAGAGTCTCAGTTGCCCTGGAGTTGAGTGCCATGGTGTCATAACTCCCAGCAACCTTAAACTCTTCGGCTCAAGTGATCCTCTTGCATCAGTCTCCGTGTAGCTGGGACTACTGGCACCTGCCACAATGCCCTGTTTCTTTTGGAGATTAGGTCTTGCTTTTGCTCAGGCCAGTCTGGAACTCCTGAGCTCTTGCAATCCACCCAACTCAGCCTCCCAGAGTGCTAGGATTACAGGCATGAGCCACTGTGCCTGGCCTCTGACCCAGTCTTTAAAAGTTAGAATCTAACTGTTGCTACAAATTAGTACTCTGTCAAGAATGAAAGATAGAGCAAAGAAATCTTGTATCTAATCACTGAAACTACAAATAAAGAAAATGCAAAGAAAGGATATCTATGCCAGCAAATATAGTAGTTTTAACAAAGAAAAAGCAAAGAAACAAATTTTTAAACTATTTGAGGTAGCAAGAACAGACTTTCACCATCCTTCCCTGTAATGGAAATCCATTAAATGCGGAAGGAAACGTCTTGAAAAACATAAAATAGCAGACTACACTCAAGATGGTCTATTGAAAGTAGACTACTCTTGGGATAATGATGGGAATTCTTTGGAGGGAAAATGTGAAGGAATGGGAATATGCAAGAGTCATTTTAAAGCTAACACAACAATCCTTTTCATTAGTGTAGTACTTGAAGCTCATTTGAACCTCACAATTACCCTATGAAAGAGGCAGTACAGAGAATATTTTCTACATTTAATTGATGGGAAAAATTAGACCCAAATGGGCTGTGAACTTTCTAAAAAATAGGTAATACATGGCAAAGGTAGGATTAGAACCTATGTGTCTCCTAACCTCTAGTCCATGCTGTTGGGATAGTATCATGTGCCTTTCTCATAAAACCTATGAGGTTATTTACATTACAGAAAACATTCTTCAAGAACTAAAATCATGTATTTGGCTTTCTGAAACCACTTGTGATCCAAGTGTAAGCTTTGAGTAATAACCACATGACCAATAAGTATAACAACAAAGTTTGTATTCTGTTTAAAGATGAAGCACTTTCAACTAAGATGCTGTATATTATACAGTGCATTAGACATTACATCCTGTTAATTCTTTTCTCAGGTGATAATTGTTCTAGGTATAAATCTGTACCATGATTTTTCATATCCAACAAATGTTACTGGGTATTTTTATCATTTTTTCTCACTTAAGATATTACATGGAGAATGCATATACTGATGGACCACGTTTCTTGCAGCAGGGCATGAAAATTAGAAACTAAAGTTCCTTCTGCTAGGGACCTTTCAACTTCAAGGATAAAATTCTTCATTTTACTTTATACAGCTCTTCATTGAAGGTGACCTACTCCAAAACTGCAACCTACATGTTAGGAATAGTGCAGATGTACAGGTGGATCTTCTTTCCCACGTCAAGAGTCAGATACTATCTTAAGAGTTCTCTATTTGTAGGACTAAGTAAAAGTCTTCATTAAATTTATGCAACCAGTTTCTATAGCAATCACTAACATAGTCTTCAAGATAGTCCTGACATGGAGGAAGCATTGCCGACTTTACCAATCATTATTCAAAAACCAGACACATAGCAGAAAAAAGTTGTCCATACTGCATTGAGATCCATGAAGAAAGTGTAGCTTATGCTTTTATGCTATAATTGATCTGATATTCCTCATAGACCCTCACCCATTTGGTAGGAGGGAAAAAGTTATCTAGATCAATTTGGTCATCTCAGCCTAATCTGGTAATTTAAACTTTTTTTTT